GGCTATGAATAAAGTGTTTGCTGCATAAACATGAGGATCTGAGTTTGGTCCCCAGCACCCAAGGGAAAAGCTAGGCATGGCACCATACACCTGTACTCTTGATTCCAGGGTCTTGTCTGGTAAACCAGTCTAGGTGAATCAGCAAGCTTCAGGTTCAGTGAGAGAGTTTGGGGAAATATAGTAATTATAGAAGAGACCTGGCATTCATCACCCGGCTTCTGTGTGTACACAAAAAAGCACACACACACACACACACACACACACACACACACACACACAATTTTTTTTATAAGTCTGGCCCCAGATAATTCATGAAATATTGCTATGTCAAACAATTAACTGAATGTTTTACTCTTAATATGCCAAACATGGCTACCATGCTCCAAGGGTAATTTGGATTGTCTTTGACCTTCACCATGTGCTTTCATTCTAGGATGCTGATTTGCTTCCTGTAGTACGTCTCTGTGTCATGACTCACTTCTCCTTGCAGCAACCTGGAAGCTAGGGATTACTATGTGTGGTTATAGAAATGAAGGGTCTAAGTTCTGTTTTAGACATGATGTGTCATTAGAATTAATTGGTAGGGATTTCAGTTCTGACTGTAACTTTCTGTCCTTGAGGGAACAGATAAGGCCAGAATGTTAATACCACTAGAGAGTCATGGAAGGGGGCAAGGTTCTTAGATTCTTGAAAACAACTTGCTGGGGTGGTCAATGGTCACTTTTAAGGACAGTGTACAACCTAACACTAATAACCGTAATGGTAGAAACTGCCAGAAGCCACAGCAAATGTGGGCACCCTTTCTGTGTCAGCTACTGCAGACAAGTTTCTCCTGCTTCCATTCTACAGAGATGGAAAGTGAGGTGAAGGAAATTGTTCTTGTTAGTGTTAAATCATAAACTCTACTTTAGCAGCCTGGAGAGCCCTTGTTGGATACTCCTTAGATAACACCCTCTCTCCCATCACTCTTCTGTTGTTTGTTTTTTGAGAGAGGGTCTCTCAATGTAGCCTTGGCTGGCATGGAACTCACAGAGATCCATTCAAGGGCTGGGATTAAAGGCATGTGCCATCCTGCCTGGCTACCATTACTATTATTATAACACCATTTCTTTGTGAAATCTAGGTGACTCCAGAAGCTTTGCAACAAGGTGACCTCGACCATGCTTCTTTCCATTTGGTAATCCCACAGCACCGAAAATCAACCATTTAATGTCTATCTTCCCTGTGTGGGTGTCTTTGACTGCAGGAGAGCATACTGGTTCCTGGCACTGCAGGGACAGATTGACTGTTGTCTGTAATAGTAAGTAGGCATTGCCTTTCCCTTCTTGCAGCCCAAAGTCTTCTGGAAGTTCATTTACAAATGAAACTCCCAACTAAGGTTCACTCAAGTCAAACTGGCATTTTTGGGCAAGCTATTGCTTAAGATTGTGGAAATCTACTTTGTTAGCCTAGCAATGGAGTACTGCAACCATATTCTTTGGTTACCTCAGAATTTTTCCACAAACTTCTGCAGATTTAATTTCCTAGTCTCCACCATGGCTCTACTAAAGCAGAAATCTTGCCCTCCTGTGTGATTCGAAGTCTTTCAGTTCCTGAAGAGACTGCAAACTCCTGAACTAATTAGCATTATCGTGCTGCTCAGACAAATGTTGCCACCCAGAAGCCCCTTTGACTTACACTAAACAAAAGAAAACCATGCTACAGTGGGGTTTGCAAAAGACAGAGATGATACAGTTGAAAGGACCTGAGGAATGGGCTTAAAGATGGATGAGCTACAGTGAGCCCTAGGTCTGTGGGTTGTCATCTAAGGGTTCAAGCAACCACTGATCAAAAATAGCAGAAAAGAAATGGCATCTCTACTGAACACAAGTAGAATGACTATTTTCATAGCATTTGTGTTGTATTGGGATTTATAGACAGTTTACAGATGGGAAAGCATGTCAGATGATATACAAAGGTTATATGCAAATACTATATATATATATGTATATATATATATATATATCATTTCATATCTGAGACTTGAACAAATTTGGTACCCTATGAAAAGTTGATGGCACAGATACAAGTTGATAGCTATACTTCTGTTCATGTAAGAGCTCTTATCTACATACATAGAGATCTTTCCTTCAATAGTTATGGGATTTTTTTCTTTTTCAAAATCTCAGAATATTTAATCAGAATCCTTGGTGTAAGTTGTATCTTTTAAAGTTTCTCTAGTGTGTACAACAGGAATCCAAGGTTCAGTTGACTTGAACAAAAGTACAAATTTCCAACTGGATCCTTTAAGAGGAAACCTCAAAAGTTTTATTAACAGTCATGTCCAACAGAACTTTGCAAACATGTCTAGTTTGTTCTATTGGTTTCCTAGCTCCCGTAAACAATGTCTAAGTGCTGCCATCTGTAAGGCATATGACATCAACAGAAGGGTGCCTAATAACCAGGAAGCATTAATGTTCTTAGCCTCTAAATTATTTGGAATCATCTGGTACGGTCTGTGTTGACATGGCTGCTTAAAGCTTGATTTCTGTGTCTTCCTACGGCAGTGCCACAGTGGGAAGGCCCCGTTCTCTGGCTTTTGCATTGCTCCTTGTCTTTCCCATCAAACTGTTACAAGATAGATTTACAACAGACCCAAAGGTAGTAGCAAAATGAAAATTAGTTCTCGGGTAGAACAGCAATCCCATTTGACTTGCCTGTAGCAACTGCGTCCTATCTGCCTCTACAGCAAGGAAATGACTTCTTAATGTGCTTTCTTCCACTAAGAAGAATTAAATCTATATGGCAAAATGGAAAACCAGTGTGCTGGCAGCCAAATTGTGAAAGGAAGATCCATGACCCTCATGAAGATATTTGTGGCCTAGTTCTATGCTAATGAACCTCATTTAGGCTCAGACTTCCTCTGTGTGGAAATTCAGCCCTGCTGGAAAGCAAGGAAATCTTTCCTGTACTATTTTGCCTTCCACATCAAAGCTGCTGAGATAAATAGAGGGAAGTCTCTACCTGCTGCAGGCTGCCAGAGTGGAGTCTCTGGACTATGCTGAGGGTTTGGGGCCCAAGAGAATGAATATTACCACTTTAGTTGAAATTTTGTATTTATTAATATTGTGGTGTGTGTGTGTGTGTGTGTGTGTGTGTGTGTGTGTGTGTGTGTGTGTGTGTGTGTGTAGTGGGGGTTAGAGATGCATGCCACAGCATGTGTGTGGAGGTCACAGGACAACTGTGTAGAGTGATTCTCTTCTTTCATTTTACCATGGTTTCCAGTGGTCAGCTTGTCCTGTTTATACCTTACCCATTGATACCTGATCAGCATGTTTTGCTGAACTCCCAAAGTTGTTTTCAAAGTATCCAAGTTCAAAGTGAGTATTTATGCAGTGAAATGGGGATAGTAATTATGGATTCTCCAAGATAAAGGAAACAATGCTGGCACTTGGCATTATCTACCTGGATGAGTAAATGAATTTCCTGAGATCCACACACCCCCAATCCCTTCAAGGTAAATGGATTTAAGTAGTGTTCCCCTTAAAGGAAGCTATAAGGATTGTGTGAAATATGAGCAGCAGAGAAGCTGCCCTCCAAATCATGCTGGCCATCATCGACAGTGCTATCCGACCATCTGCCTAGTCACCTTTACATGAACCACTACACTGCATCCTGCGAGCAAGTTGCACCTTCAGCTTATTATGGCACATATAAAGCAGATTGGTAACAAACTGAATTACAAAAGGAGATTAAGAGAGAGATTAAGCCGGGCGTTGGTGGCACACGCTTTTAATCCCAGCACTGGGGAGGCAGAGCCAGGCCGATCTCTGTGAGTTCGAGGCCAGCCTGGTCTACCAAGTGAGTTCCAGGAAAGGCACAAAGCTACACAGAGAAACCCTGTCTCGAAAAACCAAAACAAAAAAAAAAAAAAAGGGAAAAAAAAGAGAGAGATTAAACTTGACTGAAAACTTGCTCTCTGATAGAATAGACATGTTGTCCACTCTAATCTTAAACATATACTTGCTCTTAAATATTTACATATGTAAATGTATGTGAATATGTGTTATATACATATTTTACATGGAGAGAGAATGGTCTATGGAGAAACTGAATTGAGTAAGTTGTTAGTTTTCTATGCTGTTTTCTCATAGTTTCTATTGTTGCAGGTACACTTAGATTCAGAAATCTGTTACTTCTTTTAAAAAAATTAGAAAACAAACTGAGAATGGAAAATGAACTCATTTACAGTTTAGGCAGACCTAGAAAGAAATATTCAGTTTCTTTCTATTTCCTTTGTGACCGAGTGGCAGCTTTATAGAAAACATGAAAGAAAAGCCAGGAAATGTACAACTATTAAATGGTCAGAATTTGTAAAATCTGGCTAGTCCCTCTCCTGGTTGACAAAGCCTCAGTCTTTCCCTTCCCAAGCACAGGACTGCTTGGAAATTTCACTTTCTTTAGAATCCACTTTTTTTTTCAAAAGTCTGATAGCCAAAGGGTCTTCAGTGTCTCGCCCCAGAATGTCTTCTTCGCAGGGTGTTTACAACTACTTGGAGCTCATATAAGACAGGTAAAGCTAGAGAGAGTGATAGATAAACTGCGGGCCAGAAGGAGGCCTGAGAATGGCTGGAGACAATGGATGACTGCAGTCAAGAGAGCAATAATATAGTGGTGCTGGCGGGCAAAGGAAATGAAGGGGTGATGGAGGCTGTGTGGAGTGGTGGATGCGCCCTCAGCAGCCTCCCGCCTTCCAGTCTGTCACAGGCTCATCAGACAAGTACGAGGCAGCAACAACCCCAGTGCAGCCCAATCTTGTTATTTTATTAGAGAAGCAAGAAATGTCAGTTCTTATGTGAAACTCTTTATTTTCAAAATTGGGCAATTAATGTAATTAAGATACACCCACAGGCCTCTAATTTGCAAATTATTTTCATTCTCTGTCTCTCCCTTTCCCCAGCATTATTAAAGAAGATCTCAAGGATTCTTTAATGAGCCTATTCTGTTTTCTTCCTCCAAAGCTCCAGAAACATGACAAAGAGGAAGAGGACTCCCCAGCCTTTTGGAGATCTGAGGAGGAGATGGCCGCGGAAGCGGAGGCGCTGCGCGTCTACTTCCAGGTAAACATCAATTACCTCATCTTCACCCACATTTCCCAATGAGCTTCAGGAAAAGAAAGAAATGCTGGGAAGGATGCAGAAAAATAACAGCACCAATGTCTCCCCCAGGGGAGACCAAAGACGTGGAAGCTGTATGAAGAGAGTCCTGACCCATGTGTAATAAACTACCTGCCTCTTGCCACTTCCTGTAGGCATGGAAAAGAGTCTGGAGAGAAAGTGCTGAGATTTCCAGGCTCTTGTGTCCTGAATCAAAGAATTGGACCATGGTGACTGGTAGAGACAGGGGTAATTTATTAATACAGAGAACACTCCTGAGTGTGCAAGCAGGACAGACAGCTGGGGAGGCTCCTGGCTCTGATGAGCTCAGCAGCAGAATGGTTAGCCTTTATGGGCCATCTGGGTACCACCAACCTCTCTGGCATTTGGAGTTGCTCACATAACTCTCACTAATGTACATTATTATAATTGTTTTATTTTATTGTTGATCTCTCACTATACTTTATAAATTAACCTTTATCATATGTATAGAATAAAGTATATAGAATACTGGCTACTGTCCCTAGTATGGGGCACACATTGGAGATCTTGGACAGAATCCCATGCAGGTTAAAAGAAAACTGCTGTATATTGCTTTGATATTAAATGAAAGGAAGCTCAAAGACACATGCATTAACTGGTCCTTCTCTCCCCTGCCTTTCTTTTAAAATACTTTATTTACTTAATGACCCAGAGTGCTGTCCCCTCTAGTGTCCTGTTGCCAGTCCTTGAAGTCTCAGGCTAGAAAGAGCACACTGAGGCCTCCTTCCAAGTGTTTCCAAGTGTCTGTCACCATCACAGAAAGAATTTAGAGATAGGACAACGAAAGGTATTAGCTGAAACAACACACTTAAAGGGAAGTGCGGCTGTGGACAGGGGAAATTGAGAAAGCTTGTTTGATGAGCAAGGGAAGATTATTCAAGAATTAAAAGAGGAAATTCAGGAAGCAATCAAGATCACCTAGAACAGTTTTCACCCTTTCTTCTCCCTTTCTATGTAATTTTTGGATGTGTCACAGAGGCAGATGCGAGCAAGCAATTCTACAAGACTAGTGACAGGATGGTCGGGAAGCAAAGGATATTTGATGTCCTCAGTAGGCCATGTTGGTCTCGGCCATTATGGTAGCCATGTACCAGTCCACAAGTGGTCTCTGCCTTCCCTGGGCCTCCCTGGCTCCTCAGTTCAAGCAGGCCACTGCAGCCAAGCACCACAAAGCTCAGTTAGCTCCTCCATGCATGTATCAAGTCTGTATTCCTTTGCCTGAAGGAGTACAGGAAAGTGTAGCAGAAGCTATCGGTCAGATTTTATTTTTAACCTTTCCCACTGTTCACCTTCTCTTCTTTCTGAAGAGAAAGGGTTGATAATGAACACCAGCCTGTGGACATGACCAAACACTGTTTTCTGTTCAATTCCTCTTCAGAAGTCTAGTGTATCACTTTGGAATGCCCTGTTGAAATAACGATACCACATCTTCAGGCATAATTTCTTAGATTGAAATTTTTGTTTTTCTGAGCTTCCTATACAATGGGTGTTTTCAGGTATAGAGGCAAGAAAGCTCTATGCTTTTGTGGAGGCCTTTGTGGAAATGTAAGGATCAACCTCAAAATGGGTCATCTGCATACGTTAAGATGTTAACTTCTAACTCAATTCTTACCTGCTTCTGCCCTGAGTCCTGACATTACCTGTCTTCCAAACAAATTCATTTAACTAGCAAGTATTGCCAGAAAGACTCTGTCCTAGGCAGTCAAACCATTGGGCACAATGCTTATTCACTGTTTTAATAAACTAAAACACATCCCTTTTTAATGGACTCTGGTTACAGACTAAATAAATGACCTATTCAGCAGCCTGATGTGGAGACTGTGACTAGAAAAAAACACAGTAGCCACTACTAATGATGTGATGAAGGGGGACTTAAATAGAGGGTCCTTAAACTTTATCAAGAGCATCACCAGTACCTGCAATACAAAGGGACTAAATTTACTTCCCTCTAGACTTCTGGTCCTTAGCTTAGTGTCTTTAGTTATTTGACACTAGCCTCTGTATTTTCAAATTCTTTTTTTATATTGAATTTGTATATAGTGTTATCTAGACTAATAATGCAACATTTAGTTTTACCTGGGCTTGAGAAACTATCTTTTGCATATGTGAAATGAAGATTTTTCTGATTTTTCCCCAGGTTTTTCTGATAATACTGTCAGCAACATACCCATCTTGGGCAGGATGACTTGAAAGACTTGTTCTGTTGCTACTCTGCAAAATTTTGAAATTCCCAAGAGGCAGAGCTAGAGATAGGATGGGGACCTGGGAGGGATGACAATCATCAATCATTCCTGAGAAAGCATAAAAAATCCTATTATAAAACCCAAGCTCAGCCATGTTGACTTTCCTGTGCTCCGTGGTGTAGGAGTGACAGTATTCACAATGCCAACACAGTTCAACCCACTGGCATCAGGCTTAGTTGTTCCACCCCTCACCATTCTAACCACTTCATATTTCCCCCCCCAGCTCCCACATCACCCCTCAGGGAGTCTTTTTACGTCCTTAGTGTCCTCCCTGGTTTCCTTGGAAAAAGGACTTTCTTCTCTGCTGCTGAACTCCTTGGTTCTCCAGCACCCATCTCTATCAAAGGGGGCCCCAGTTTTACAATTGACTTTGCTCCCCTAGCAGGCTGGTTCAAGTGCTGATTCCTACTAGGCTTCCCTCCTTTCCTGTTTCTCTGCCGTTTGACCATGCACCAAGTAATATGACCTTGGGTGGGTCCAGTGTTTATCTAACCTCATTCCTCTCTCCCTTGCTCTATAAATTCCCCACAATTTCCTTTATCTTTGTTTACGCTTACTTTTTATTTCCTTGATTCACTTTTTGCATTGCAGTACATTTTTCTTGGCCTCAGTATAAAAGAGAACACTGTTTTGAATTGGAAGTGTAAGCATAAATAGAAAAGAGAGGCAGTGCCAGCTCTCTGTAGTTACTCACCTACAACTACCAAGACTGAGCTCCATTCCATATTCTAGAAAGTGAAGCCAGTTACTCTTTGGCTTAAATTTCATCACTAGACTGACACCCTGAAATTCCCTACTTGATATATTTGGAAATATTGAAATAAAATAATCTCTGAGAGATTTAATATGATTCCCACCTTTGGAAAATGAACAGTGATAATCAGAATTCAAGAGTAAGCTGACCCTACCCCTACTAGTCCCAGAATGGGGAGAAGATAAGATCCATGGGAGAAAACCACTCATTCCTTAGCCTTCTGGATACAAGACACCTTACTGTGTCACAGGCTGATTAGGTCTATGCAAAATTGTTGCTTCACCTAGAAGACTGGCTTCTAGGAATTTCCTGACCGTTCTGCTTGCTAAGAGTCTATGTTAGCCTTCACAGAATTTCAGAGAATGTAAACACCTACAGCCAAGACACCAGGTATCTATAGGACAAAGGAGTATTATGGGCAATGAACCTCCCTGTGCATGAAGTTTTCTTATAAAGTAGAAACCCCACTCCACGTTTTCTTTATGCAAAAACTCAGATTAAACTCTTAGCATGGCAAGAGCTATTTAGGACCATACAGTTAGAAATTCCCCCAAACCATACATGCATGCTCAGCCTCTGGCAGTCATCAAGGCAACATTAGCTTACTCATATAGAAGAATTTCAAGTGTCCTCCCATATGTCCCTGCCAGGTAGATGGTGATTTACCCTCCTTCTTTATCTCTTTGTCCAACTAGAACACAACTAGGTCACCATTTCTTGGGCAATCATGAAAAGCAGACACTGCTTTTGCTGTGCCAGTGAGTCAGGAGTTCAGTGGTTGCTGGGTGATGCTATAGGTGTCTCAATGCCTGCCTGACAAATCCCTGATGAGACTGGACTCCTCTCTACCTGGATGAATGTATGCATTGGCTCCCTGCATACTGAGCTGATTTCCAGGATGGACTTTGTCGTGTGACAGTGAATCTGCATCTCTTATCCTAAGCTTGCCTCTTTTCTCGAGTGTGATGATTCTCTCTGTAGATATTTAACACTTGGCTTTGCTGCCTCTCGAATTTTAATTCAACAACATGTATACCAGTATGGATGGTGCTGCCTTCTCCTCCTCCTCACTGGAACTGAGAGAAACATCACCTCCCAACTTCAATGGGAAGGCAAAGCAGGACAGGTTTCCACACTGTGTTGTGTCAGCAAGATCATTTGTAATTCATTACATTATTCTCTGTGTATGTCTTTATTTATAGATAATTGGTTGCCTCTCATTTACTTATAACAGCACAGTGCAATTTCAAAGCAACTGAGTCTGCCCAAAACAACATTATTAGTAGTTACAGATGTACTGTCAAGGGAGATTTTGGCACCAGCACTTTTTAAAAGCCACTGTAATTTCAGCTGCTGGACAATTGCTGATTGTCATGGACAGTGAAGGCAGACAAGATGGAACAAGTCTGCCTGTTTGTTCTTTGCTCTAGTCTGCAAATGATGCTCCTTAAAACCTACCCCACCAGCCATAGAGAGGGTCTGCCCTTTGCACAAACAGCTTCCAGTGAGAAAAACTCAAGGGATTCATGAAAGAATTCTGGGGGAAAAGGTAGCTTTGAACTTCAGCTTGAGGGACTTCGTCTGGATCCCCGTGGAGAGGGGATCTCACTAACAGCAATGAAATTGTTTGCCCATCCTCCTTTAATCACCCCCAATTGATATGAAAACAGATTTCCTTTAGCATGATGAGTAAGAGACAATTGTTATTGTTTTCTTACTTTTTGTCTCTTTGGGGGCGTGTAGCTGGGTGGCTGACCCCTGATGCACTGCCCCTCCTTCTCTCACTCCTAGATCTCCCACTCCCAGATTTCTTCCTCTATAGATTCTCTCTGCCTGCCAGTCCCACCTATCCTTTCTCCTGCCTCACTATTAGCCATTCAGCTCTTTATTAAACCATCAGGTGTTTTAGACAGGCATAGTAACAC